TTATTTTATTTTATTTTATTTTATTTTATTTTATTTTATTTTATTTTCAACAGTCTTGTCCTTTTCTAGCAGAAAATAAAATCCTTTGGTTAAAGCTATATTCAGATAGAAAAAGTTCATGAAGGATGGAAAGGTAGCAGAGTTGGTAGAGTGCTTGCCTCCTCTGTACAAAATCCTGAGATCTATCCCCAGCCCTGCATAAACTGGGCATGCCTGTATTCTCAGCACTCGGAAGGTAAAAGCAGAAGTATCAAATGTTCGTAGACATGGCCATATTTAATTATATACACACAGGAAGTTCTCAAAGAATAATTTTTTAAAGAAATATTAAAAGTTCAAAGTCATAACAAGCTTGAGGCCTGTCTGGGATAGGAGACCTTGTTTCATGAAAAAAAAAGAAAGGAAAAGGGGGTGAGGGGGAAGTTTATGATACAACACAAAAGAAAACACTCAGAAGGTGCTGGGTCCTTGAGGCCCAGGGTGGAATCTCATTTGAGCATGACAAGGTGTGCATACTCCTCCCAGTGGTAGTGGGTGTGGTAGGCATCCACAGTGACAGGTTAATGCAGTAAAACATCTCACTAGAGAGTTCTCACTGTTCCTAAGTAACAAGGATTCTCTAGGTTACTCTCCTAGAATGGATCCTCTATAGAGGACTCACTCAAGTCTAAGTCGACAGGAACATTATTCCCACATTAATTCTTCTGGCAGGAGAACTAATAAGCCCAGGGCATCCCAATACAGTAAAGAGGAAGCTCTGGAAACATAGTCCCAGCTCTCTAGCTTCCTATCTTGCAATGATTCTCAGCAGAAGCCCAACAGTTTTCAAGCTTAATCTCCTAACTGCAAGCCCTGCTGCCTTGTACTTCCTTTAATTAGCGTCCCCTTGCTCGATTCCTTAGGCATTTTGGTTTGGTTCTGAAGTTTCAGTAATTGTGAAGAAACATCACCATCAAAGTAGAAAAGGTATAAATGAATGTGGAATTATGATGAACTGGCTTTTTGCTGGGTTGTTGAGGGTCTTGCTATGAGCCTAGCTGCCCTTGAACTTTAAGTGACTACTGCCTACTTCTGCCTCCCAAGTGCTTAGAATTACAGGTATCAGTGAGTATGCCTGAGAGGGGCAGCGAATGACATCTAAAGAAATGAGCAAGGATAAGAAGGCTGTAATGGGGGAATCAGCTAGTATGGATGTACAGAAGAAATGTATGTGCAGAAGGCTGGGACAGCCTGATCAGCAGTGTGCTTTCTGGGTTGGACTCACAGCACTGCACAAACAATGTGGTGGCTCATACCTGTAGCCCCAAAACTCAAGCAGGTAGAGGCAGGTAGACCAGAAGTTTAAAGTCAACCTCAGTGCTGATGCAAAAATATGTGTTGGAGTCAGATAAGAGTGACCATGGCCCAGGAACACAGATTTAGGTCACCCAAAATTCCATGTTCCAACATGGAGCCAGTTTGATGTTTTTATAGTAGCAATAAAGAAAGTCACAAATCAAGACATTCTTCAAATATATTAATGGAAAGATCAGAAAAGCAGGTTACGGCAAAGCAGGGAACTTCCATTGATGGTCTCAGATGCTGTCTGATGACACTTGTAGCTTTTGGTTGATAGGTGCTAGTGCTCTACTACACTAATATAAAGATTTTTTTTTAATCTGTTAGTCACAGGATGTCAGGTCAGGTCTGACACAGAGGTGGACAAGAAATGGCTATTTAGGGGATTAAAGATAGCCCAAGCTGAATTGTAATTAGGCTCTCAACCTATCCATAGTCACTAAGTTCTAACCAGTTAATAGGCCTTGCAAGCTCAAAGCCAATCTGGGATATATGACACTCTTTTTTAAAATGAAAAAAAGAAAGAGAGGGAGGGAGGGAGGGAGGGAGGGAGAGAGAGGGAGAGAGAGAGAGAGAGAATAGAAATATGGAAATATGTAGAGAAGAAATATCATGGAAAATATATTAACTTAAATAACTAGTGATGGCTAATTAATCCAGGGCTCTCAAAATTCCAAGAAACTTTAAAATATGTCCAAGCCTTACTGCAGAGCAGTTTACTAAATCTCTTAGAAGTGTTATCTAAGAATAAATATTTTCTAAAACAACCTAGGTGTTTTCACTGGGCAGCCAAAGCCTGAGGATCTGCCTTCAAAGGACAAACTTAGTTGTAAACGAGCTTTCTATAACCTACATATAAGTTGATGTCCCGTCACTTGTGAACAAGGATCTGTACAAACTTCTGCTTGAAGATACCCTGAAGGCTGACTTAGGTGTTTTCTCAGAATAGTATCAATCAGCAAGCCTGGTTGGGAAGCACTTTGATACGTTGGAAAAGGCATGCTGTCTATTGAACCAGGGTTCAAATGCCTATTCTGGCACTATCTAGCTTTGAATAGGTAGCTTAATAACTTAACTCCTCAATAGCCATGCTACATGCAAAATGGAGATTACAAACCTTCATTGCACAAGACTTGGGTAAGTAGCAATGCACCACAAGAGGGCCTTGCCCATGATTAAAGTAAACACTTGCCTGTTGCTTGAGAAGGTTGTCTAGCTCAGCCTACTATGGGCTGTAGGAATGGACAGAGACATCACCTTAGACTGTCCTATGAACCTGCTGAGGCCACAAGAGATGGCACAGTAAGTTACATCATGCCCCTACTCCATAGTGCCTCTCACATGTGCAGAGCTGTCTTCTTTTCACAGGATCCAACTGATGCAGTATGTCATCTATGGAATCGCATCCTTTTTCTTCCTGTATGGCATCATTCTGCTGGCAGAAGGCTTCTACACCACAAGTGCAGTGAAAGAGCTGCACGGTGAGTTTAAAACGACTGCCTGTGGCCGATGCATCAGCGGAATGGTGAGTACTAACCTCAGGTGTGCAGCCGAGCCATGGATGGCTGTGTTTCTTCCTACTTGGTGAAGCTAGGAGCTATTTGTGGCGAGTCCGTTGATACAAACACTGCTCTTACCAACATGACCTTAAGAATTTGAAAATCACTGTGTTGTTGATAACATTTGTGACTGATAGTGTTAAACCAAATGTCTCCCTTTGTTGGGCTCTTCTAGAGGAAGATAAAGCTTTAAAAGGCAGGCTTAAAAACTGTTCAGTCTCTGCCGAGCGGTGGTGGCACATGCCTTTAATCCCAGCACTTGGGAGGCAGAGGCAGGTGGATTTCTGAGTTCGAGAGTTCGAGGCTAGCCTGGTCTACAGAGTGAGTTCCAGGACAGCCAGGGCTACACAGAGAAACCCTGTCTTGAAAAGCAAACAAACAAACAAAAAAAAACTGCTCAGTCTCAAAGGAAAACCATGACATGTTGTACATGTATACATAGCACTGGCAATCAAACCCAGGACCTTCTGGATACTAGGCTATATCATAGCCCTTGTACAGGCTATGTGTATGATATATCCCTACCGAAATGTTGTACAGACAGCTGGGAAGATTGCTATTCATTGAAAGAACAGTCAGGTGTGGAGAAAATATTTGGAAGTCTGAGAAAAACGGAAATGCTGAGGAAGAAACTCAAGGCATGGTACGGCCAGGGCTGTGGCTTCCTAAGTGTATACCAGTGACTGCACCCCCACTGTAAAAGAGGAGAAAGATAATGCCAGAAAAGAGGGGACATGGGTCTGTCGTCCAGCTCCAGGAGAGACCACTGTTTACAGCAGTTTTCATGAGGTATGCTGACTGGGATAGAATTCTTTGTGTCTGTGGTGACTTGGCACCCATGCACCTATATATACACAATACTTACATAGTCATTGAACTCTTAAAAATGATCAAGATAAATATGATCCTGCCTTGGGCAGAAGTATTACATGATCCTGGGAAAGGCCTGGGAAAATCATGGGGACTTTGGCTGCACCAGCTGCTGCTCTGCCTGGCCCTGGGTTTCTGTGTCCTGAGCTGCCCAGACAAAAGGAAAAAGTGGAGAGCAGGAGAGTTGTGATGGTGATGGGCACAAGTGGCAGCAGGCCCAGGAGGCCAAGGGACACAGGGAACACTGAAGTGTGTAGAATCAAGAAAGGCTTTATGCTAGACCAAAACAGAGGAACTCACTTCACATGAGACCAGGAAAGAGAAACTACTGTGAGCAGGGGAGGCCTGGAAAAGTCCAGACGTGTGGCTAGGCTAAACAGGAAGAACACAGGTAGCAGGAAAGAACACTGCTTAAAGAAGGGGTAGGGACCAAATCAAGGTGAGCCTTGATCTAATGCCAGGAATGATGTTGGTAGGCAAAGACAAAAGGGGCAGTGACCAGAGCAACTCAGTAATTATAAGCCAGTCACCAGGTGTTAGGGTGGATGGATCTGGGAAAGTGGGGTTGCATCTTAAGACTCAAGTGAGACTGACTGGAGATGTGACATGGGCCCAGGCAGTGGAGTCGAGGAGGGGCTGTGGAGATGATCATGGGTGGGACAGTGAGAGGAGGCAGTGAGTGACAAGTCAGCTCCAGTGCTGTGCTGAGGAGCTGTGTCCTATTAGAGTGTGGAGAATTTGGGTGGATTCAGTTTGAACCTCAGGGGCTTGATCCAGCCTTGGGGGGGGGTGCGCTATGCACAGTTAACCAGTATGTTATATGCACACTTGGGGCTGGAGTTCCTGAGAATGCTCAGATGACTGAGATGACTAGGAGTTGCCTGCTAAGGTGTAGTAACTGAACAAGTTTCCAGCAAAGTTTGTGGAGGAATCCTGAGGTACATCATTATCGGCTAGGTAGGTTCAGGTTCAGAAACCACCTAGAGACAAATTCCTGTAAAGGATCCAGATCATTTGATGTATTGGGTCTAGTCTCTATATCATTCCTCCCATCAGTGGCCTCCTTGCCATTATAGGAATCTACATCCTGAAGGCTATGGCATGTGGTACCTGAAGATGTCTGGGCAACCTATAATCTTGCCCTGACCTCCTCTTTGCTAGTTCTGTCCAAGTGGTACCACAGTTAAGTGGCTGTGTCCCAGGCTCCTGCTGTCTCTTGTCCCACTGTCTTCCCACAGGGACTGGCCAGGCCTCACTTCCTTCAGCATAAGAAGGACAATGCCATAAGCAATTTTATTAAAAGAAAATACCCACAGTGGCCACCATTTCTGTTAGGGATCATATACCTGTCACCTTACGGCACTAGTCTCTCCTAGCAGGTCTGGGACCTGAGACTTGCTGACTAGACCACACTGGGTAGGTAGTGAGCTCCAGGGATGTGCCTGTCTCTGCCTCCTCAGCACTTGGATTACAGGTATGTACCAGAGCACTCTGCATTTTATGTGACTACTGAAAATTGAACTCCAGGGGACTCCTGCTTATAGCACTTTACCAGCTGAACCATGTCTCCAGCCCCCACTTTGACTTTAAAATTTTTTATATTTATTTAGTGGGTTGAGGCCCAAAATAGCACATCACATAGCCTACACGTCATGATGTATGGATGGATGTCAGAGGACAAGTTGCAGGAGTCGGTTTGTCTTTCTACTTTATGCATTCTAGGGATTGAGTAGGTCATCATCAGGCTTGGTAGCAAGTGCCATCTCATTGGCCCCCATCTCAGTTTGTAAAGGTTTGATTGACAAGGTTAATAAAAAAAAAGTGCAGGGTTGATAGTACTGCAGCAGCATGCTAGTGTCGGGGAAGAAGATGAGAACTACGTTTTGTTCAAGGAGGCCTTGCTTTTCTCAGGCCTTTGTGAAAAGTAAACACCTACTTGCCTGGGGTGTGGGAAGAGCCTACTGAGGAAGAATCTGAATATCAGATTTGTAGTGTTGTGAGGATCAGCCCCCAGAGGGTGCTTTCTACCCAGCCCTGGCCTGACCTTTGGAACCTGGACCCTCCATAAGAAGTAAAGGCTCACCAAGGCCAAGAATCACTAGCCCCTTCTCAAGTCCCTGCGGTCTTATTAGAACGCCCATTAAGTTTTCCATGGAGAGGGAAAGAACAAGCAAACCTATTCTGGAACAGCCATCTTGGAAGCCTTGGGGAGGGACAAGAGGTGTGACTCCTGAAGTATGTTCCTTTGAATAATTTTGAGCAATGCAAGTGCTTCAGGGATTGTGAAGGTCCTTGAAAGAACAGGACAGTAACCTGGTATCTGCAGTTTGCCAAGGTGACCAGTAAGGGGCAGCAATACGAACCTGATGTTCAGGTCAGCCTTCCTCTGGACAGACATTTCCTACAGCATAACGTTTTGTGAGGATGACATATAAGAAGAGAATCTTGACAGAGTCCTTGTGTTCGTGACTGAAAGTTTTAGTCAAGGTTCAAGCATTTAATGTGTCCAGTAAGTTCCCAGGATGAGGAAACTGGCAGAGTTCCTTTTGAGAGAAGGCTTCCTGTGGCAGTTGAGATTTTTCCATACCCACATGGAAGGTAAAACAAAGGGAAGTGCTAAAAAAAACCAATATGATGTTATAATTCAATGACCTGTAGAGACATCCTGGACCTATCCCATGTTTAGTAGGAGTTTTAGCTGGGATATTTTGGAACTGATGTTTAGAAAGAGTATCTCACAGGCTGGTTCAAGTATGCTGGCCTGTGATCCCAGCTTTATGTAAGGTTGAGATAAGAAAATCAAAACTTTAAGCAACTTAGTGAAATAATTTTTCCAAGTAAAAACACAAAAGGGGAACTGGGTGTTTAGCTCAGTGGCAGAACATTTGCCTAGCATGCGGAAGGCTCTAGATTCGATCCCCAGTACAGAACACAAAACAAAGTAAACAATAAAAAATTAATCATTATTCCAGCCCTGTAACTAATTAGTTGTGGGAGTAAGGTCACCTCTTGGGCTAAAAGAGGAACATCAAGGGCAGGAGAGATGGCTCGTCTGGGAGGTTTTCAGTTTGATCCTCAGAACTCAACATGAAAAAGATAGACAGGCATCGTGGCCCAGCTTAGAATTCCACCACTGGGGAGACAGAGAAAACTGGAGCCCTGGGGTTCCGTGGCCTGCTAGTCTAGCCTACTTGGTCTGTTTCAGGACATGGAGACATACTGCATCAACAGCAACAAAGTGGAAAACACCTCAAAAACAGGTTATCTTCTGGCCTCCACAATTTACACACACATACACATGTGCACCTGCACATATAAAGACACATACAATAGATAGATAGATAGATAGATAGATAGATAGATAGATAGATAGATAGATAGATAGATAGA